AATATGCGATGAACATGACTCCAATTTATTGTTGAATTTTATTGATTGTTTTAATTGATTGGAGTTGTGTTTTCCACCGAGCATTTCCCCTAGTTTGATCGGTTTAAATTTATATTCGTCTATTTGGTATAGAAAGAAAGAAGTGAACGGGAGAAGAGCAAACTCGGCTTCCCCTGTTCTTTAAGTTCCTCTGTTCTGAACTTTCCTTTGTTCTGCTATTTCTCTTGAAAAGTTCGTCGGAGGTGGAGAAACCTAAAGTACAAAATACACCTGAATGGAACCGGGTCTTTGTTGTTGTTAAAATGGAAGATCTCTCCCACCATATTGATTTGAGTACAGGTATTGGGTGGCGGCTGATCAATTCTAATTGTTAATCTTTGTTTTGCACCTCGTTAATGATATTGATAATAATGTAATGGGAATGGACATGGTTCTTTCAAGTTTAATAATTATTAATTAATGATGAATCCAGTTTAATAATTAATTAGTGCTTTGCAAGAGAACAACAAATAGTGCTTTACAATTTGGATTCTAGTAGTAATTTGTAGTTTGAGAAGAAGAAGAAGTTCCAGCTCTTGGCCATAGTAAGTAAGCTCCAGTAGTTGTTATAGTTAGGTTTTGGTGGGTTTAACAGATAAGAGAAGGAGGGCAGGTAAGGAAACGGGAATCTGTCTGGTATGTGCTGGAGACTAGCGAGTGTATTGCTTCTGTTTAAGAAGTGTTCTTGTAATTAGAACGAAACAATTTTCGTAGTTTCAATATGTTATCGTGTTTGTTGCTTCTTAGATGAAACTTTGTAGGATTAGTCCAAAAATGAGTAAATTCCTTAGATGAAACTTCAGTAGTCATGTTATCGTGTTTGTTGCTTCTTGCTTGATTGATTATGTAATTCTTTTCTTTTCGTTTCTTTTTTAGGAGCAATGGACGCTAGGGCTAGAAGAAGCAAAGTTTGGGAGAATTTAACTCAAGTTGAATCAGAGGAGGAGGTCAAGCTTCAATGCAACCATTACATGAAGGTTTTTGGATGCAATCCTAATAAGAATGGGACAGTTTCACTATGGAGGCATCTTAAGATGTGCACTAAGGGAAATTTTCAAGATTAATGGAGCCTTATGTACTTTACTGTATTTCCTTCATTATATTTGCTTAAATGTTATGTAATAGTCTCAACTCTCAACTATCAAGACTCAAGAGATGGGCTCATTGGTTTATGATCAAGCAAGTTGTCAGCTTTTTAATTTCTTGTTGCTCAACTATTTATTTATGTTGGTTTTGTAACATTAATGAATCCTCTGCAAGGTACCAACAACTAGGAACATAAAACTTGTTAATGTTATATTCAAGCAAAATATAGTCACTCATTTGTTTAATAATGTACCTTCATGTTTTTTTCATTGCAATATGGTGATCGATGAGTTTGTTTTAAATTAGTGTAATAACTAATTATTAAAAAAACTCGATGGTTTGGACCGAACAACCCGCAACCCGACCTGTTGTAACCCGCAATCCGATCAACCCGAACCCGATTGATCCGCAACCCGATCAACCCAAAACCCGATTGATCCGCAACCCGATCAACCCGAACCCGATTTGCCCGCAACCCGATCAACCCGCAACCCAATCAACCCGCAACCCGATCAACCCGAACCCGCTTGACCCGCAACCCGCTTGACCCGCAACCCGTTTGACCCGCGACCCGACTGAACCCGACCCGAACCCGCCCGATTGACACCTATAATCTCAGCTACCTGGTGTTCGATCTCGGCTTTCTGGGCATGCGCGTATCTGTACGGCCGCACATTAACTACTTCGGTGCCCTCCTTGAGTCGAATCAAGTGGTCCACCTTTCGATGTGGGGGCAGCTGGTTAGGCTTCTCGAATAGACCCTTGTAGCGGTCCAACAGAGCCTGCAAGTTCGGGGCCAAGGGATGCCCGCCATCAAGCTCAAGGAGCCAGCCAATGCAGTCAAAATCGCGCTTTAAAACTTAAAAACTTACGGTTTTACGCTTCTAGGACACCAAAACGCTTTCGTTTCCATATAAACTCTTAAGTGCATAAAATCGGGACTAAAATGCGCTTTAAAGCTTAAAAGCTTACGCTTTTACGCTTCTGGTTCACTAAAACGCTTTACGCTTTTACGCTTTTACGCTTCTACTTCACTAAAAGAGTATTCTATTCATGAAAATACTTATATTTTAAAGGTAAATCACAAAAATATGATATATTTGAGATTAAAAGATACATATCAAGTACTTGGTTGCATTCTTAGTTTCAATAGAGCAATCTAATTCACCAGCAATGCCCTTCCCAAATTCACTAGCATAGAGGGGAATGTAGCTTATTGTTAAGATATATGTTTGTTAACTTATTGTTAAAATGTTGTGAGTTTCTCAACTTTAGACATGAATTACAAGTATTTATTAACTTATCTAAACTATGTACACTCATATTTTATCGTACTTAACACATTTTTCGTCATATTAAGGTATGCGTAAAAAACTTACATTTTTACGCTTTAATTCTACGCTTTACGATTTTACCCATTTTCCGCTTCTAGGTAGAATCGCGCTTTTGACTGCATTGGAGCCAGCAAAGCACCGCCAACTCCACTTCGTGCGCCAGCTGTGGATAGCTCCATTCGATCGGCCCGGTCGCCGTGGTAATGCCCTGCAGCTCCCAGTCCTTGTCGCTCCACTTGAATCGCATGATTATTTTCACCCAATCACTAGTCACCGGGCCCAGGCTCTTAAGCCATGGCATGCCTAAGATCACGTCGAACCCATGTAATGGCAGCACATACAAGTCGAGAGGAACCTGTAACCCTTGGATCTTCACAGGAACCCCTTCCAGCTCCATGCACACTGCAGTGGCACGCCATTGGCGACCTTCACACCGAAAGGAGCGATGACTGCCTGGGGTAAGTGCAATCGGCGCACGAATTCCTCTCCCACAAAGTTGAGGGAGGCCTCGCTGTCAACGAGAGCCATGCCCCATTCGTCTGTGACCTGCGCCCTGAAGTGCATCGTGGCCGACCCCGCGGTCTCGACGGCGGCAACGACGGAGATGGTCTCCAGACCCGCGCCGCCTTCTCCCTTCTCCCGCGGTGCTGCAGTCGCTGCCAAGGATGCCGAGCCCGCGGCCAGCTCCTCCGTCGCGCCAGCCGGCTGCCGTAAACCCGAGCCACCTTCCTCCTTCGCCGTCGTTTCCCGCTTCTCCTCCCGCGGCGCTGCTGTCGCCGTTAGGGAACAACCCGTGCCGCCTTCCTCCTTCGCCATCGCGGCCTGCTTCTCCTCCCGCGGCGTTGCTGTCGCCGCCAGGAAACCCGTACTAGCGGCCAGCTTCTCCACCGTGCCAGCCGCCGCCGCATGTCTGCGGCCACGCGCTCGAGCCGCACAATGACGTTTAGCAGTCAGGCCTCGGTCCGCACCACTTGGTCCCCCTCCGTGGGCCCTGTAGAACTCATATCGACGAGACTCTGATATCAATTGTGAGAAACACAGATGATTCGGACAGAAATTGGGGATGAGAATAGAAGAATTAGGGTTGAGAATTGAGGAGAATTGGGAAGAGAATTGAGAGATAGAAGATGAATTAGGGATTTAGGATTTTGATATTATTATTGCTTAATCGAAATAACAAGTGTTTGCTGGTTAAATAGTTCTCTCCCCAATAACAAATAAGTGACCAAACTACCCTCCCTAGATCGAGTCGGCCCTTGCGCCCGTGCTGCTCACAATATATCTGGGGTGTATATGGTGAAGTCGGGATACCATTTTGCTATTTCTTTGGATAGAGCGAGGGGACGTAGGAAGATTGACGGCCAACTATTTTTGTCATCTGTGACTCAAGATCTCGTGCTAAGATGAAGTCCACCTTAATAAATTTAAAATGAAATAACAAATTAATTGAGGAATTTTTGTCATGTGTGACTCAAGAACAAATTTTTGTCATATGTTTTTTCTTACCCACATATCTCTATATTTTTCAAGATCGAAAATCCAGAATCTCACAGAAGCGCCACCTTCCATTCCAACCATAATCCAACAGGATGGGAGAGGAGATGGGGTGAATGGGTGAGGGTTCGCCTGAAAGAGGGATCTTTTAGGGATGGTGCCATGACGGTGGATGAACAATCGTCAGCTACAGTTGGGGGTGGATATTTGGTCGGCGTTGAGGAGGATTTTACGAGAGATTCGGTGATGGGAGGTGAACGGTTTTAGTGTGGGACGAGGGAGAGAAGTAGTCAAGGGCGGTAGCGAGAGATGATAAAGATGGAGGGCACCAGGGATAAATCTTCTTCTACGAAATTATTAGTTACCACTGAAAGACGACAACGATGATGGGAAGGGGCTGAAGAGGGAGGGTGGTCGAGGAGGGAAAAATAACTGTCAACACAAGTAGAGGGTAGGAATGGCAATGGGGCAGGTCCGGGGTGGGTTTCTTGGTACCCAGACCCGCCCCGTGGCAGGGCGGGTCCAGGTCGGGTAATTGATCACGGGTCGCGGGTCGGGGCAGGTCGACCCAATGGGTATGCAATTTATTTGAAAAACATTAGAAATATTCATTATTTTATTATAAAACTAAGAAAACAAACAATATTATGAAAATTGTAGTTAAATTATTGGAGAAATTGAGGTTTTCACTAATTTACAACTTTATTATAGCTAAAATATGATACGATAAAAGTAAAATTCAAAGTAATTTGACTAAGATTTCATGTAATTTAGACAAGAACGGGTCGAGAATGGGGCAGGTCGGGTCGATGAGACTACCCATGCCCGCCCCGCCCCGTCTACGGGGCGGATCGGACCCACCCCAAAACAGGTCAAACAGGTCGGGTAAAACGGGTCAGGTCGAAATTGCCATCCCTAGTAGAGGGAGCAGCGACGGTTTTTGAAATTGGACAATTGATGAGAAAGGTTAGAGAGATGAAAGGTTAGTGCAAAAATATCATCTAGGTCAAACTTTGGAACAAAATAGGACATTATCCCCAAATAAATCAAAATGGAACACTTCTCTCACCCCGAAAAGAAAGACAAAACGAGAAACACAAATCCGTAACGGACGGTGGAGATGAGATATGTATGGTCACTGGAAAAGCAAGGGCCGACGGATTAGTCTGTTCGTGGCTATAAATGCGCGGGAATCGTGCTGACGTGTCGAACTCTCGAGAGTTCTCCCGAAGCTATTACTTCTGTTTTCTTTTCCTCCACCAGAGACGGCGGCGATAGCACAATCCTTTTAACTGCCAACTAGAGCTGCCACTTCCAGATTTCCGACGTAGCGAGTAGAAGCGCCGACATCCAACCGCCTCTCCGATCCCACTGATAGTCTCACAATCCCAGAGTAAGTCTGTCTTCCCCTCTGTTTCATTACGCATTCCGATCGATCCCAATTTGTTCAAGCTTGAACCTCCTCCCCTTTGCAACTGGTCGGCTGGCTGAGTTCCGATCTAGTGCGATCTCTCATCAATTGGTTCCCCTTCTTCTCGGCGAAGAGGGGGTAATGTGATTTCCCCTCTTATGGTTAGGCCAATCTTGAAAGTTGTGTTGCAGTTATTTCTCTTTTTTGGGGGTTCTTGGCTGGCGATCAGTTTAGGATCTCTTTAAACCTGTCCCCTTATCTGATAATGTTCGGATTTTTGCGGTTTCCAGGCCTTTCAATTGACCTGTTGGGATTCTTGAGTTCTATACCTGTCTGATCTTAGTGGCACTCACTTCTTTTTCATTTTGTAGATTTTCGGATCTTGAAGACAGATTAGGGCAGGATATATTGTCTTAGAAGGCTGCTGGAAACATGAGCTTTGTTTTCCGTGGTAGTAGAGGAGACATTGAGAGTGGATTTTCTGGGTTTATGACCGAGCGACCTGCAGTGGTATGCTCCTTTCTGTGTTTCATGCAATTGTACTCAGCGTGCATATTTCCCAGATCGACTTCTGCATTGCGAGGGGACTAATTTCACATTCTGCTAACCCTTTCCTTCACCCAGCGTATTCATGGAGCGGCTGCGGCAGGTCGGCCGGTCAGTTCAAATTCCATGGCTTTTCTTGCCACAAGTAATGTTTCTGCCTCTTCCTTGTTCCCTTTGCAAATTGATGCGTTGGCTGTTATTGCTCATATTAATTTGGATTTTCTGACCTATTTGTTCAGCAGTTCTGCTTCTGTTCATGATCTTGAATTCACATCAGATGTCACCAAACTTCTTGGTATGTTTGTTTTGGGTGTCATCTCTTATGACCTTGATAATGATGTTCCCTACCATTGCGAGAGTATTGATATGGAATGATCTGCTGGGTTGCAGCTTTGGTTAGTTGTGGGTGTTTTCCTGATGGCCACTAGCCTCAGAATGTACGCAACCTGTCAGCAACTTCAAGCACAGGCACGCGCTCATGCTGCAGCAGCTAGTGGCTTGCTAGGTCATACTGAACTCCGATTACATATGCCTCCATCAATTGCTTTTGCTACAAGAGGGCGATTACAAGGACTCAGGCTTCAGCTTGCACTTCTTGACCGCGAATTTGATGACCTAGGTATGGTGGTGCTCTCTGTCCTTTTTTGATTGCAAACCATGTCTTGGTTTTGGTTCTGATTCTGATTCATTGGAAATGTGGGCGAGTGGATGTGATTAGTTCGTGCTGTTGTGTTGCAGACTATGATGCCCTTAGAGCATTAGACTCCGACAATGTTCCTTCTGCTCATTCAATGAGTGAGGAAGAGATCAATGCCTTGCCTGTTCATAAGTACAAGGTCCCAAGATCGGAGATGTAAGTTGGAATTCTTTGCTTTATCGGTTCCCCCCTGACCTTGAAATTGATCTGGCATTATTTGATTTTCTCGTTGTTTTCTTTCAACAGAGGCAGTGCATCTGGGCCAGAGTCATCATCCTCATCCGTTAAAGCGGAGGTAGCCTCCCTTTTCCTTTTAGTTAACTATTGTGCCACTTAATCATTCTTTTTTTATAATGGCGAATATTATTCGCATTCACAAAAAGATAAAAACTGTACAAAGAAAAAGAACAGGCAAAGAAACCTGCAAAAGACTTGCAGGAGAAAGGAGCCACTTCAGCATTCAACACTCTGAATAGTGATGTGTGGTTATGAGCTTCATATGGTTAGACTTTTGAAACCTAGAAGTTTAAGAAATAATGAACAGAAGCTGGTTCCAACCTGTAATCCCTGCTTGACATAGATGATCAAGTGACTGAGACAGATGGAAAGGACATTTTGAGGCACTAGTCACACACCTCTTTTACATATCATTCTATTGCTACCATTTAGGGGAATACCATTCCTTGTTGCTATGAGCGAACTATAATGTATAAATGCATGCTTAGCAGGGTTCCGTGAAGCCCGGGAGAACTAGATGGCAAATAATGAGTGCACTGCCCTATGTGAAATTTTAAGTTCTCTTTATCAGTCATGTTGAAACATCAATAATTCATTAGGAGTTTTGGATTGATGTCTGTTAAGCAGCGTTCTGCTTTCACATTCTAAACAGACAAAGCAAGAGGCTGGAAAGGTGGAAGTAAACGCAAAAGCTTCAGATGACGAACTTACATGCTCAATTTGTTTGGAGCAAGTTAGCCGGGGTGAACTTGTTCGGAGCTTGCCGTGTTTGCATCAGGTACTGTTTTGTATCATCTATGACCCTTGTTGCAATACTTATGTATGGCTTCATTAAAGAGAATCCGCTGCTTTCACCCCTTGACACAGTTCCACACCAACTGTATCGACCAATGGCTCCGGCAACAAGGAACGTGCCCTGTTTGTAAATTTCGGATGGGGACAGGCTGGCAGGATTCCAGAGGAAGTGATTCGGATGGGTCAGACAATGTTTAACGCGACTGCTTCAAGTAACGCATCTGTATAGCAATAGCAAATTATATATACCTAAGTGTACCCATCTTCCATTTTGTTTCTGTTGCAGCGTATGATCCAAAAAAATAAACTGGTATTTTGGTAGTCCCAAGTCTTAGCCTTTCTGCAGCAGCGCATAGATTGAAGAAGCTTCATTTCTCCTGAAATTCTGTTAGGTCTCTGCATATTTCCTGTTGGTGCCCATCACCTAATAAAATCAGTTAAAATGACTTTACATGTGTGTCACTTTGCCTTGTTCTCTTCTCTATCGAGTTTTTGCCCGTTTGTCATTTCGCATTTCGTCATTTCCCGCATCATCATCATCATTATCATTGTACTTGGCCAAAGGGATATTGATCAGAAGAATTCTGGTGGAGTTTACAAAAGTCAACTTGTATAAGGAAATAGACATCACAGCATGAACTGTGAAGTACAAGGTTGCTGTTCTCCGATTTTCCCGGAACTGAAATGGGTACTTGGGTAGTACAGATACTACAAAGTGGAAGTTGTACTGTACTGGAACAAAGGGTCAGAAATAGGAGAGGCGCATCTCCTGGTTTCTCTGTATTTATTTCTTTTCTTCCCTTTTGTGAAATCAAATCCAATCCTTGTCTCGCCAGGAAAGGAAGCTTCTTGATAGTCAACTCCTCCATTCATGGCTTCCACCATGTCTTCTTCCTCCCTCGTACACCGAAAGTCAACCTGCCTCCTATTCTCCCTCCTCCTACTCCTGCAAATCTCCACAATGGAAGGCCATGGCGGCCACGACGACGAAAAAGCAGATCTCCACTCGAAAGGCTTGATCTTGGTCAAAGTATGGTGCTTGATCATCCTTCTTGTGACAACCTTCGCTGGGGGCGTGTCACCTTACTTCTACAGATGGAACGAGAACTTCCTCCTCCTGGGAACCCAATTCGCCGGCGGGGTCTTCCTCGGAACGTCACTGATTCACTTCTTGAGCGACGCGGCTGAGACTTTCGACAGTCTGACAAGCAACACTTACCCATTCGCCTTCATGCTGGCTTCCGCCGGGTACCTTCTGACGATGCTCAGCGACTGCATCATTGTGTATGCCACCAGCGGCAGCAGCAGCGGTGACAAAGAGTCCAGAATCGCGGTGGAGGAAGGCAGGGCAGAGGGTGCTGAATGTGGTAAAGAAGTGGAAGTTGAGACGACCAGCCCTGTTTTCCTGAGAACAACTTCTCTTGGGGATGCCATTCTGCTCATCCTCGCCCTCTGCTTCCATTCCGTTTTCGAGGGCATGGCCATTGGGGTTGCAGGTAAAAGAGAGTACCAATCCAGCTGCTACGCCATTTCTCTTTTGTTCCTTCACCAATAGATTGAATTTGGGTGTACCTGCAGATACAAAGGCGGATGCATGGAGGAACCTGTGGACGATATCACTGCACAAGATCTTTGCAGCCATAGCGATGGGGATCGCGCTGCTGAGGATGATACCGAGGAGGCCATTCCTGACGACGGTGGCCTACTCATTCGCATTTGCGGTCTCGAGCCCGGTTGGAGTCGGGATAGGGATCGCCATTGATGCCACTGCTCAAGGCAGGGTGGCTGACTGGATATATGCGATCTCCATGGGACTTGCTTGCGGGGTGTTCATTTACGTGGCTATCAACCATCTCATAGCCAAAGGGTTCAAGCCCCAATCCAAATTGTTCTTCGACACTCCGGCCTTTAAGTTCGTCGCCGTCTTTCTTGGGGTGGCAGTCATTGCCGTTGTCATGATTTGGGATTAGAGAACGAGAACGAGAACGACAACGACAACTCTTTGTTTTTCGGAATTGGTGTTGATAAATGGAAATTGCAGAAACTGTGAAAGGCTGCAAAACCAAAAAATAAACATAATAAAACGCGCCAGATAGGGGTCGAACCTATGACCTTCTGCTTAGGAAACAGACGCTCTATCCACTGAGCTACAGGCGCTCCTTGTTCATTGATTACCTCAACATATTAATTTCATCATAATTTATACGAAGAAAGATGAATACATTTCAGGACATAATCTAAGGATGAAGTAAGATGAATACATTTTAGCTTGGTAAGTTATATTATCAGTAAAATGGAGGGAAAATTGTCTGGAACAGTTTTTGCACAGTGGCCCAGCTAGCTTACTGGCATTGGATGTGTATTTTGGAGTGGCTTAGCAAACCAGCAATCCTGCATGTCTCTGCCATGGATTATATACATATTATAAAAGTGTTGTATCCAATTTAAGAAACATTGAGACGCGTAACAGGAAGAGGAACCCACAGCCATGAGGACCGTAGTTGGTGCACCTACAAAACTGATGGGAAAATGTTCTCATAATCTCTGCTACCTATTTGATCTACCCATGAATCACTTTGTCTGGTTATTTCTTGAACCGACGTGAAATTTGCATCTCTAGTTAGGCCAGATAAGAAGCTGAAAGGTTAATGATTCGTACGAGGGAATCAAGCCTCTCCCTGGTCTGCCTGAGTTGGCTTCATTTCATGGCCAAGCTGGAGCTGTATCTGGGTAGATTTGCTTCTGTCATTTTCAAAGGAAAAAACAACTAACTTATAAGCTGATGAACCAACTAAGGTTAATGATTCGTTTAGCTCTTGCTTGGAAGTAAGGAAGGTTAGAATGTCACCCTTTGGCCCTTCTTTGGATTCTCTCCAAGGACCCATCATTGGTTGCAACTTTTTGTGTCACCAACCAAAATCTTGATACACCTTTTTTTGGGGTCCCTCTTGCTGTCTTCTGTCTGATTAAACATCAAGGTTTCTATTGGTGCAAAGAAGCCACAATGGGTCTGGAGTTGTTTTAGTCCATGCAATGGACTAACACTTTGATTTGTCCTGCCCATCAAGGCTAAATGACAGTTGGATCCACTGTTTCATGGTGTCAGACATGCTCCTCTTTCATATCACATAGTAGTGAAGTAAAGCGATCAATGGATTCAAAATTTTCACCCATACTGATAAGGTTGAAGTACTGCATAACCACAGTTGGTAACGACTCTCTAAAGGTTGAAGGTAAAAGGAAAAGGGAAACTTAGTAATTGTTATTTAAGAGTATGAAAGCTTTAGTAGTGAACTAATTGCCTTTGATTATACTCCAAATTTGGCACAATGGGCCAGTGACAGTAGGTAATAGCTCTTTTTTTCTTTTTTTCTTTTCTCCATATCTGAAACTATTACCTTCTCAATTACTACACTAATAATGCACCAAAAAAACACCATTTTCTGCCCCTATTTAAACCTCCCCGTTTGTCTCCTCCATTCTCATCAAATCCACTACCAAGTACTTAATCACATCTCATCCTCCATCCACTGATTATAACTGTTATCATCCAGAACAAAATCATGTCTGCTGCTACAGCTATGTCACCAGCAGCAGTTCTCATGGCATTTCTCCTAGCCATTACCTGCCTCTGGACCTTCCCTCAAGTTGCCAATGCAGGGGTCACTAGGCACTACAAGTTCAATGTATTTTTTTTAACACTCTTTTCTTACCTACTAACATTATTGCTACATTGTATTACTTTGTTGTTCTTCTTCTTCTCAACCACTTGTGGGTTTGGTGTAAATCAAACAGATAGAACTGAAGAACATCACAAGGTTGTGCCACACTAAGAGCATTGTAACAGTGAATGGAAAGTTCCCTGGACCTCGGGTTATCGCTAGAGAAGGCGATCGCCTTGTGGTGAAAGTTGTCAATCATGTTTCCAATAACATCAGCATCCATTGGTAATATAATGCAAAAACACCCCCCACAGTCCCATCACCCCCATGTTAGAGCATCTTATACATGTTCCTGCAATTCAGCTAATATCTACATGCTTCATGTCTTTCTGTTTTCTGATGATTGGAAACATAACAAAAAAATTGTGAAACTCCAGGCATGGAATTCGACAGCTAAGGAGTGGATGGGCTGATGGCCCATCTTATGTGACACAGTGTCCCATCCAGACCAACCAAACATATGTCTACAACTTCACCATTACAGGACAAAGAGGAACATTATTCTGGCATGCTCATATTACCTGGATGAGAGCCACTGTCTATGGCCCTCTTATCATCCTCCCTAAACCCAATCAACCTTACCCTTTCCCCAAACCGTACAAGCAAGTCCCTATCATGTTTGGTAATTCCAGTCTTTTCCAATGTTTCTCAGAACATTTGTTTTTACTGCATTAGCATTCTTGAGATAAAACTGAAAAATGGGTTATGAACAAAACTTGAATATAGGTGAGTGGTTCAATGCTGATCCTGAGGCAGTCATTAGTCAGGCTCTTCAGACTGGGGGAGGTCCAAATGTCTCTGATGCATACACTCTTAATGGTCTCCCAGGCCCCTTGTACAACTGTTCTGCTAAGGGTAGGTACCTAAATTTGCCACAATTGTTGAAAATTTTACTGCTGAAATGCAGTATCCAAGTTGTGCCCAGTAGAGTAATTTCTGTGACTTTCTTTCTTTGAACAGACACATACAAGCTGAAGGTGAAGCCCGGGAAGACATACCTTTTACGGCTGATCAATGCTGCACTCAATGACGATCTCTTCTTCAGCATTGCTAACCACAGCTTCACTGTGGTTGAAGCTGATGCAGGCTATGTCAAGCCTTTCAACACCAGTGTATTGCTAATCACGCCAGGCCAAACCACTAATGTCCTCCTAAAGACTAAGCCGGTCTCCCCCAATGCAACATTCTACATGCTAGCTAGACCATACTTCACAGGCCAAGGCACATTTGACAACACAACCATTGCTGGGATACTTGAGTATGAAGAAACCCAAAACCTTACTACTACTCCCGTGTTCACTCCGGTCCTCCCAGCCATCAATGCCACAAACGTCGTTTCCAATTTCTCAAGCAAATTCAGGGCCTTGGCCACTGCCCAATTCCCAGTCACTGTCCCTCAAACCGTGGACCGGACCTTCTTGTTCACGGTAGGTCTGGGGATCAGCCCTTGTGGGAATAATAAAACTAACAACCAGACATGCCAAGGCCCTAATGGCACAAGATTTGCAGCATCAATGAACAACATCTCCATGCCACTCCCTTCCACAGCACTTCTTCAGGCCTACTATACCAAGAAATCCAATGGTGTGTTCACCACTGATTTCCCTATAACCCCCTTGAACCCATTCAACTACACAGGCACTCCACCGAATAATACATTTGTGGCAAATGGGACCAAAGCCGTGGTGCTGCCCTTCAACACGACCGTGGAGGTCGTGCTGCAAGGCACCAGCATCCTTGGTGCTGAGAGCCACCCTATCCATCTCCATGGATACAATTTCTACATAGTGGGACAAGGGTTTGGTAACTTTGATCCAAGCAAGGACCCTAAGAGTTACAACCTAGTTGATCCTGTTGAGAGGAACACAGTTGGTGTGCCCACTGCTGGTTGGGTTGCGATCCGGTTTCGAGCAGATAATCCAGGTAAAGTCCATTTTAACCAACTCTTTCTTTCAATTTTACAGCAGAGAAAAAAGTTGGAAACTTTGTTGTTTGGATGAATGCAGGGGTGTGGCTGATGCACTGCCACTTTGATGTTCATCTGAGCTGGGGATTGAGGATGGCATGGGTTGTAATGGATGGGAAGCTTCCACATCAGAAGCTGCTTCCTCCACCATCTGATCTTCCCAAGTGCTGATCATGATTCATCATGAATAGATGTGGGGGAGAAGAAAAAAAAAAGATTCTTTTGCTGTTCTTTTTATACAATATATCCTCCAATTTTGTGGGTCTGTTTTAAGTTAACTTATACTATACTACTACTGCTGCTATGTGGGTTTTTTGTAATTTTGGGTGTCTGCAACAAGTTGTTCCTGGCTAGCCTTAGCACAGACAGGCAAGGCATGGCAGAGGGAGGGCAATAATTGTTTGCTTTTGTTTCTGCTGGATCGGCTTTCTCTAAATTCCCCTTCTAGAAACTGTGACAAGGCCATTGTAGTTGAGTGAGTGAGGATGATGAGTCTTTGTTTGTACAATAAAAAGAGTTACAAATTTCATATCTACGCATTACAAGGTGGAAGTTTTCTTATTTTTCTTAACCACTGCAGCTCTTGTTACTTCAAAAGTTTGATTTAATTTTGACTTTGTACCAATTGGGAGAGATCTCTCACCTAAGAAGGTAAAATTCCGGAATAGGAACAACCAGATACACGAATATACAGACCTTTGCAGGCCTATTACTAAATAGAAAGTAGAAATGGATGTTGGTCATGAACCAAAGATGCCACTATATGAATTTATTCTATGCTAACTATCATTAAGTGTTATCCAAGTACTTGCAATTTACTTTCTTTTTTAAAACATGTAAATTAAAAAACAACTATTTAAAGCATCTACAATCTACTTATAAACCATAATGTACATGTTTTCTTATCACGATTGATATCTTGGCACATATCTTGGCCGGAACATTTAGCTCCGTTACTTGTTAAATTATCTCAACTAAGATTTTTATTTAGCATTGTTGATTGTTATTCTATTATAGTTTGATACATAGCATTCATTGACAAAATTAATTTTCTTTATTTAAAAATGAAACCATAACCATCAAATTTGGTTAATCATTATTCTAATAAAATAAAATATAAGTACTTCTTGGTTTACAACATGTTTTCCAGTTACTTCACTTATGGGTATCCAGAAGCCAGAAATTCATAATGGCAAGAAAACCAATTTTGTGACAAAAACTAAACAAAAAATCAAAACTGAAAGAAGAAATTTACCTTCATTTAGTAACTGATACATGGACTCTTACTCTTGCTATAAGAAAGTATAAATTGGTCTCCACATATGAAATTCGGAAACATGGTTAGGTCTCATGATGTCCATATCTATAAAGGAATTGTAAGCTAAAAAAAAAATGAAGTATGAAGTCTTTTTGATGAAAATCACAAGTGACCTTAATGGCCTGTAAAAATTTATGTGTTTTTAAGAAGTTACATCACATATTAACTCATAAAGCTCTTGCTTGCATTTAGATTTAGATCACCTAGGGGTCGTTTGGATGGAGTATTTGTATGAGTTATTTGGATGCAAATAACTTGTTTGGCAGCTTTTTACTGAAATGAGTTATTTGGACAGTGAGTTATTTACAAATAACTCAAAACGAGTTATTTGAAATAACTTATACCCACGTGTTATTTCGAAATAACTTGTTTTATCATTCTGCTTTTACCAAATATCACATGTCAAATGCCACATTTGCATGGTTCAACCAAACGAGATACTTTATTTCAATTACCACTGAAATAACACTGAAATACCACATGAAAAATAAATGAGTTCTTTGACTCTACAAATACCACATTACCAATTAACCCATCCAAACGACTTTATTGATCTCTATTTTTTTTTTTTTTTTTTTTTTGTTAAGTGATTGGAAGAACTTGTAAAGGAGTAATATGATATGTAAGCAAATTTGGTGTTCGAAGATAAGTGATTGAGTTTCTGTTTCTGCCTATTCTATTTTTTGAAATTTTCTTTTTGTCCATTCTCTCCTTCAGGAGAAGAAATGCCACAGTATCTGTTTCCTATTAAACTTAATCTTTAGTAAATACTAAATACCCATAAATTTTGCTTCCTAATTATTTTAAAAAAAATATAATTTCAGTAATGGAAAGAGCACCATCAAATGTAATTATATAAATCTAATTTCAGTTCTAATAGGAAACAGATACTAAAATTATATTTTGTTAGAACCAGTTTTGGAAGACGCAAATGACGAAATTTATAATTTCAGTGGCCAAGAAGACGCAAAACAGAATATAATTTCAGTTCTACCAAAACGGGCTTACAACAAAATATAATTTCAGTTCTACAAAAAAAAAATATAATTTGAGTAATGGAAAGAGCACCATCAAATGTCATTAAAAATTCATTGTTAACCTTTTATGATTTATGTTGAAAAATGATGAAACCTCGTTAGTACTTGGTAGTTGGTACTAATCTCTTAAATAACCAGCAAATAATTACGAAGAGGTTATAATGTTCTTGCATTTCGTTAATAATATAGTGAATAAACGTTTAATGATACATTGCACAAACGTTAATAACGTTAAGTTAAATTGTTAACAATTGTCCAAAAAATCTTAATAAATTAGTTACCGGTCATTGTTAATGTTTTATCATTTATGTTAACAAATGACGAGACTCGTTCACAATAATTACATAATTAAAATGGTCAATCATTACTAATTAATCAATATTTAGTTGAAATAGTAAAATACGGTACGGGAAAGTTACGTATAAAATACGTACGTGTATTATACTTCGTCCATAAACTAAAGTTATGTTTAATAGTACGTTAATAGTCATAAATATGTAAAACAAATTATTTTAAAAATAAATAAATATATAAATAATAGTAAATTTAAAAATTTAATTCATAAATACGGATAATAAACGTGTTATACGGGTTTGATATGTGTTTAGAACTGGACCATCAATTGAACGGGAAAAAATTAAACGGCTTGACAATAATACGGATACGGAAGTTTTAAACGGATAAAGTACATACGAGTACATATACATGTTTTAAACAGAGTATTTACTAACTAATAACTAATATTTATATGTTATTGTTTGTCGACCGCTGTAGAATGATTAATAACCATTAGCTGTCGACAAAAAATAAATATTACTGTGCCCTTAACTAACCAATAACCATTAAATAATTAATAACCACCCTAGATCAATCTAACAGCGAGTATTCACTTAAGCAACTCCTTAAGTTTAGTGGCTTAAAGACCCGAACCCATTCCCATATTTTTGGGCGGGATTTAAGAGATTGCTATGAACTAATATACCCTACCAAAAATTAAGGGGAGTATAGGATTTTTTTGAATACCGAAAACCTAATAAGACTCCACCATGTTATATTCTGTAGATAGATAACAAAAATGAAAATTCAGTGATTAGGGTACAAGATGGAGTGATTAGATAGTGACACCTCAGCAATTAATTAATCATTGCGATCTCCGAACCTTAATGTTTGTCCCTCTCTAAGCATAGACAGAAAGCGATGGGTCAAAGCGAGCTCATAGCTTAAAATGGATGTGGAAGGAAAGCACCATAACTAAAGCATACATAACTGATTAAGCCATTCCACCTAACACCTTATCCTAGATATGTGCCAATTAGTTGAATTCACTAGCTATTGGCGACTAGTTAATTAGAAGGGTGGTTCGCAGCTAATTACTTCCATTCAGTCACATTTTGTCAACTCTGAACTATCTTTCCAATTCAAGCACTTTAATAGTTTAACGGGACGGAAGATGTCAAAATAATCTGGCTTAACCTAACCCACTTCCATTCAACCCAAACCCATTCGATACGATAGGAATGAGAGTCGGATGAATTGTGCTGAATTAATTAATTTCATTCGTATTTTAGTCATCAAATTCATATCATCTTCATCCCCATGAAGGGAGGACTTTGTATCTCCATCCTCGTCTCAACTACTGCATCTCTTACTGTGATCAACTTCACCTCCTTTTCTTAAGTGATGATTAATAACCTGTATACAAATCAGGATGTTGACTATTAGATCTCCATTAAAAATACTTCAACGAAAATCCTGCTTATGGGGCAAGTGCTTGACCTATTAAGATTTAAGTGTGTTGGCGTCTTGCTTTCTTTCGAACTCTATTTCCTTCCGAAGCTCAACCTAGTTTTTCAGAATGTTTGGAGAATTGAATTTTTTGCTATGTTTTTCAATGCATGGTCTTTTTTGAGGACTCCGTTTCAACCTGTTGCGAAGATTTAAAGTATATTGGACTTGATTATTCTCAAACGCCAAACGAGTTGCATGATTTGAATAGTGCAGTGCAGCTCGAATTTCTTCTAACGAGTGAAAAATATTCTGACCGATTTAAGCATTTTTGTTATTTGTTTATCATATTCCTAGAGGAAGGGAGCAACAAAAAAGAAGAGAGCATGGTTCTTTTTTATCTAAATTGGATGGATACAGCAATTTGGGTCTTATTGGAATTGGCTAAAGTTTTTAGGAAAAAATCACAGAATACTCTAATTATTAAAAAAATTTCCCTAAATACAGTACTTATAAAATTAATTCCCAAAGTACAGCAGTTTCAACATCACTGTCTTTGTCTAAGACAGTGATTAGGATCACCGTTTTGGTCTAAAACGATGATACATCACCGCCTTTGATAGTAGCAGTGATGCTATCACCGCTTTCGAGATCAACAGTGATGAATTGACCGTTGATAAGAGACGCAGTGAGAGTATTCACCGTTGGATTCAAAGGCGGTGAAGTGGCGCGGATCGCTGACGTGAACGCGCGCGGGCACTTCACCGCTGAAGACCAAAGCAGTGATAGCCCCGCTTTCCACGTCAGCGATCCGCCCCACCCGCGCCTTCACCGCTGCCGTCCGATGCGGTGAGGCGCGGATTGTGGTTTTTCTCCACAATCCGACGCCTCACACGCCGCCACGTCACTTATCCGGGCCATCACCGCCTTTGTTGGACGCAGTGATAGCACTGTGTTTCTTTGGCGCGGTGATCAATGCCCAAGACTTTTCCAGCGCCCAAACACTATAAATACCCATCCCCCTCATTCCAAACCACACCACCATTTTATACTTCTTTCTCCCTCCATTACTTCACTCTAGTTTCGTTCTAAGTATGCTCTGTGGTTGCGGCTAAGTCCGATCTTCCGCATGAGAAAGAATTACTAGAGTTTTTGTTTTGTCGATACTCTCGCTAGCTTTTCGGCAAAAAATGGACGAAGAGGCTTTGAGAGTACGTAAATTTATTTAATTCTTTTGTGATTTTTTTTACATGGGTGCTAAAATTTAAATTGATTTGATTTCATATTTTCTTATAGATGGGTGCTGAGATATACGACCCTAGATTGTATATCGATCCTGGCCCAAGGGATCGAAGGTATTTAACCGGGCAAGATCAACATCGCTATCGTTCAATTTGGAACAATAATCCGGTAGACACACTAAAATTATTTCAATAGTTTTAAAGTTTTTATTTTGCTTTCTAAGTTTTTATTTTGCTTTCTATTGACTGACAATATTGTGTTTTTTGTTTTGTAGGAATCACTTATTCCCATCAGTCATCGAGGGACATGTCGATTGCCCCGTTGGCATCCTCGACTGCAGCCCTATCTAGAGAGGATGGGATTGCACAATCTGAGGCACTTTATGAGGCTTGATATTGACAACGATCTGCTGACGGCAATGACAGAGCGATGGCGCCCTGAGCTGCATACCTTCCACTTTCCCGAGGGTGAAATGACGATCACCCTCAAAGATGTTGCCATCCTCACCGGGCTCCCGATCACCGGAGATGCCATCATCGACAACTCGAGAAAACCAGAAGATGCTTGGGGGCCATTGATTCAAAAACGTTTGGGGTTCAACATGCCGACCACCACGCCCGTCGAAGGTCATGGGCATCCACCACTGAATGCGGGGCAAGTATCGATCCCGTGGCTTGTTGACCACATACAGTTGGAGGTTAATATAGGCCCGGATACTCCTGAAGATCAGGTGGAGCGGTATGCACGTGTCTACCTAATTGGCTTGGTTGGTGGGTTTCTGTTCCCCGACAAGTCAAATAAGTGGATACAAGGCATGTGGTTCCCTATGCTCCTCGGTGACTGGGACGAGATCGGGAAAAAAAGTTGGGGGTCGACCGTCTTGGCTGGGATCTACTGAGAGTTGTGTACTTGCTCGAGGTTGGGAGCGAAACAAGCTGGTGGTGCGATGTTCATACTTCAGCTCTGGGCATGGGAGCATCTTACGTTTCTCGCACCTCGAGACCCTCGGGAATTCTGGTTGCCAGATGATGAGCTACGATTTGTAGCAAATCCCCCATATGGTTTCAAGTAAGTTCAATTTAAGTTGAATTTATTTTAGATATGCATTGGTAGCTAGTTAGGTGAATTTAGATCTATTCCAAGTAAGCGAATTTAGTGACATTTTAAGTATGCAATTATAGTATTTTAGTGAACTTAGCTATCTTCCAACTAAGCGAATTTAGAGACATTTTAAGTCTGCAATTATAGTATTTTAGTGAATTTAGATATCTTCCAAGTAAGCGAATTTAGATTTATTCTAACCAAATCGTATTTAGCTAATTTAGATTATTGCCAAGTAAGGAATTTTATTTCAATTTAGATGCTTCCATACAATCATACTTAACAAGTAAACAATTTAGATGCTTTCCACCTACCAGGGCTCTAAAACGTGGTAAATATCACCGTTTTGCACAACAGCGGTGAGGCAATCACTGTTTTTGAGAGCATCGGTGATACGTTCCCCGCTTTTGCCAAAGGCGGTGATACGTTCCCCGCTTTTGTTGTCCGAGGCGGTGATACTGTCCCCGCTGGTTCACTATTTTAAACAAAAGCGGTGATTAGTATCACTGTCTTTGTCTAAGACAGTGATGTTGAAACTGCTGTACTTTGGGAATTAATTTTATAAGTACTGCATTTAGGGAATATTTTTTAATAACTTGAGTATTCTGGGATTTTTTCCAAAGTTTTTATTGGTTTTCATATCATATATCTTGTTACGTGAATTATCTTTATATTAAAAAATCAAATGTACGATAAGTGATTGTTTTGTTGATGGTCCCAATAGTAAGTGTGCCCATTTATGTGATTAACCTTTAGGAATTTCCAATTCAAAGTTAAACCGTAAATTTTGAGATGGTACCATATAATGCATAGTGTCACCTCATGTTTTTGTAATGGAGTGAGCAAACCACAAATCTGTACCACCTCTCTTATTACACTGCTGCGTCCAGCTTTCTGCCCCCTTCTCCTCCTTTTTTTTTTTTTTTTATTTACATTATTTCCCCCTATTTTACCCTTTAAGGTGGATATGGCTAAAGTCTATAAATATGTGTTGAACTAAAAAGCGAATTTGGGTGGGAATGTGCTCAGAGGTTGCGAGCAATGACAGAGGCAGGATTTGAAACTATCAATATCTTTTTTTTCAGAATATAAATATTTAACAAATATAATTAAAACTATGAATATCCAAATAATTCATTCATATAGAAAGAAATAACTGACTAATACAATTATTGTTTGTATAAATAACCACGACGAATTTTCATATTATACAAGAAATGTAAAATACATTCATTGTTTACACTCTTAAGTGAGTTATGGTGTCTGATAAATTGATAGCTTCTATTTTTGTCGAACGGAAACAAGCGGTTGTCGAATAAATTAATTATTTTTTGTAAATTAATGAATTAAGTAATGAGTTATGATGTAGTGTCAAAACATCCTTATGTTACTTGTTGGTGTTGAATTAGATTCGTTCGAACATATGTATGAGTGTTTTTCCCCTCCCCAAAAGTTACCTCTGTCCTGGGACAAGGCAAACAGCCCTGGCTCCGCCTATGGTTGCGAGCTGTCGGGATCAGGTGTTTGGGGTGGCTTGTGGCTGTTGAATCAACACAGTGATAATTTTGTAAATAAAATATCAAAGTGTTCATTCAACATACAGGATGTCTAATGCTTGTTCGCAACGTTCTCGCAATAATGTTGTGAGCACTATGATGGGGATTGGCAAGAGAAGAAAACCTTTTAGAAGAAAGTAACTTGGACCGGTGGTCGATCTCGGCAAGCACACGGCTGTAGTAACATGACACATTGTTACTAGTGTGAACTCCTCTCTATTTATTCTAGCTAGCCTCTCCTCTCCTCTCCTGGGTACGTACTCTGACATGAAAATGATTCAATTCTGTCCACACAAAGCTAGCCTTAGCTCCTTCCTTTGCACATGAAGCAGTACGATCGCCACTATACAGAGACGAAGTGACAGGTTCACCTACAGTGATTCTTTTCAATTGATTATATATATCATTATTTCCGTCGACATGGGCCAAAGAAAACCAACTTTTTTTCCACCTTCACTGCCAACATTGTTCCTTCCTTCCTTCCTGTTAGTACCACCGCATCTCCAGTGCTGTTAATGCAGGTTGTGGCCAGAAAGACGCTTACCTTTACCATATATGTGTATGCCTTCCATTGGTGGTATTCTTCATGCGCTCGTGTACAATACTGCCATAGATAGAATAGAGCTCCTCGCCTCCTAATTAATGCGCGCTTGTTTTGCAGAAGGAAAACAAACAAGTAGTAGTCATATGAGAGAAAGAGAGAGTGTAACCAAACCAGTAGTCAAATCTGCTACATATATAGTGAGGGCTCGATGGATTGGATGGGCTGGGTGTGGAAAATGGGGAATCCGGATCCAAAAATAATTGCTTGGGTTGGGAGGTGCTGGTGGTGGGCTCTCACAGCTCAGTGTCAGTTCCAACATTTATCTGACAGAGCGAGCAATGGGGAAGAAGGAATCTCTCTTCCATTATTAGTGACAAATCGCAACACTACAAACCCACCATTCTGCATTGGAGGGGAAAAAGATGGAAGAAAATTAAGGCAGAGAATTAGCTAGTAACTCTACTCTACTAAGGGACATAGAGATCTCTATTGCAAGCAACATACATATTAATCTTCAGGATGACAGAGATCCCTTTTCCCTAAAATGATCATGGATTTCCAGATTCGTCAATGGCGTCTGAAGCTGCTAAATCAAGTAAGAAAACCCAGAAAGAGCTCAACTTGCAGCAGTGTATGTACAAGGACACTATAAGTAGATGGAATCATAGTAATGGCGCACTGGGTTTTTGTATCTAGCTAGAGCTCTGCTCTGCTCTGCTCTGGGGCATTTTTATATATCATCATCGTTGATTCATCAAATCGTTTCTAACTAGCTAATTACACCTCATCATATATGATTCTACAAGCTCATGACAAACCCAGAAAGAAAAAAATGAAGAGGGAAAATAAAGGGGAAAACTTTTGCTCAACTCTGTCACAGCAATCGATCAATTGATGATGATCATCTGTTGGATGCTGCGTCCTGTCCTGTCCTTCAATTCCCTCCCAAACAAAATTCCACAAGTGAAAAACAGAGAAGGCCGGGAAACAATCAAGTCAAGATTTGCCCCAATCAATCAATCAATTAATCTGGTAGGCACGCGATGCATCAATTGGTGATGTGGGTCAGGGATCGGCGGCGTGTTTGTGCCAACAGACGAGCATGGCGACGCAGCGGCGCATGATGTAAAATCGGGCCTTCTGTTCTTTCGCCAAGTTGGTGCATTTCCTTCCGATTGACGCCGACGAACCCCCCTTTTCAGAGTAACCCTCGCCGCCGCCTTCGCCGCCGCCGGCGTACTTGAGGGAAGAGCTTTTTCTGAGGAAGGGAGACTTGTTTGAGTAAGAGGAGGACGAAGACGCTGTACTAGCACCAGTGGCAGTACTGCTGCTGGTCCTTGTGGAGAAACTCCGCGTGAAATTGCTGCTGCTGCTGCTGGTACTGCTACTGGTGTTCTTGGTGGAATAGCTCTTTGATAGCTTCCATTTCTCATCCTTCATTTAATCAAATCAATCGGCTTCCTTCCGACCTGTGTAATGTAAGACAGACGCAGAGAGACAGAGAGAGTCTGCGAGAGTAGAGAGAGAGAGAGAGAGATGGTGATGTTGCTTTTTTGTGTATGAGAGTGAGTGTGGATGTATATAAATATGGGATTTTATGATTTATATATGAATGGAATATATTTGTGGAATATTGAGGACCAATGTTTTCGAATTTCGGAGATTGGGGTAAATTTTCAAAATATAGTTTCTGATTGTTTTTTGAAAATAAAGAAATCAAATAGGAGTTGGGTTCTGATTACGTGGGTTTGGGTAAAAGTTTGTTATGTTATCGGTACACACGTTGTTTGTTTCCATCTATTGTGGTGTGATGGTGTAAATTGGTCCCAACTCAAACCCAATTCAACACGTCAAAAAATTTATTGGATTTTAAAAGAAAAAATTCAACTCAATTCATATTTACTCTTTGATATATGGGTATTCATAGTTTCTCTGAATACTCGCATTTTTATGTTATTGAAAATTCCTTTGCAACTATATTGTTATAAAGACTAACAACATTTATGTAGCATTCATATTACTAGTGATGGCAATGGGGTGGGGTGGGTCGACCCACTCTTACATGTTATTTGAAAAATTACACTCAAATTTTACTTTTTACGATAAAACGAAGGCAAAAAAACTTTATGAATAAAAAATAGTGATAATAAAATGGGTAATTGAGTCTAACAAGTTGAAAGATCAACTCTAACAAGTTGAAAAAAGTTAAAATAGGATATATATATATATAAATACCGTAAAAATTTGAGATAAAATGGGCCAAGAAATTGAGATATATATATATATATATATACCCATATCCCGTCCCACGCTACTACGGTTCGGGTAATACCGCCCCATCACGGATCAAGTCAAGTAATACTTACGAGGCGGGTTGAAATTGCCATCGCCAATATCATTAGAGTTAGATACAAAACAATGTTGTTTTGCTTTTTGGATGCAGATCGAATGAAAAACACGTCGGATTTTGACGAAACTCACATCGGACACAACTCATCAATTATAAAAGTGTGTAAAATCCACACTCTGACTAAAAATTCATCAACACTAAATTATACCGGCTTGACCGAATTTGACCAACCTAAGTACCGGTGAAATTGAGTTCAAATTATCATCCTACTCAAGTGTTAGATTGAGTTGAGGGCTTCGAAATAATAACACACAAAAAACCCCAACAGGGGGATGGGAGATTTGTGGAGATCCGTTCCACCGCTTAAGTTGTAGTACACTTATGTTTTACAGTGTTCCACATTGATATGATGCTCAGGATCTTTTTTCTCTCTTTATTTTGGTTTAGGTTGGACGAATTTATGAGATTTTATAATTCTAAGATTTTACCATTTTTTATGTAGATATATACCTACCACTATAACTATAGTAATATTTCATAATTCAGAACCAATGCGTCGAAATTACGACTTGAACACCAACTACGTCTGCCTATTTTTATGATCTAATTCATGGTTGTCACGCCGAAATTACGACTTGAACACCAACTACATCTGCCAATTATTATGATCTAATATTCTAATTACACTATCCTTTAATTTTTCTTTTTTCCCCTCCATTTTCTTGCACCTTCGATTATATTCGTTCGCACTTTGTGAAAAGTGGATTTTACTATAGTGAGGGCCAGTAAGAAACTGTACAAGGAAGGAAGGAAGGATGCCAACTAAGCACGGTGGTAAAAGGAATCTGAGTAAATCTTTCTTGTTTTTGGGTTGGTCATTGTTTGATTGGTCCAGAAAAGAAAGGAGGGGGTGAAATTAAATGAAAAACTAAATACATAAAAAAAAAAAAAAAAAAGGAGAAAGGGGAAAGGGTAATAGGGTGTTTTCGAAAAATAATAATAGGGGGACTGGGTTACCATTCCATTTGTGGTGAAACCAGGAGCATGTTCTATCTCCTCTCCTGCTGGGGTCCCCTTCACACTTTGATTCACCTTCATACTTTTCACCCCCGCTGTCCGGCCCATGCAAAAAGTAAAAAATATGCATTGTCAAAGTTTGTACTCAGTAAAAACTGAAAAGTAAAAAATCAGTCCGCTACTCGGATAGGAGAAAGAGAACTACTAGGATAGCAACTCAAAACTAGTGCAGGAGACATCAGACTTGATTTATCTTCTTTAGATATTCGTTGGTATTCTGCTGGTGGTTACAATATGTGGAAATCATCCATCTTGAAGTGCATATATGCGTGATGTGTCACCGTGTTTTAGCTAGAGCATCTGGTAATGAAGAACTCCGTTTGTGAAGTGGAAAACAAAACACTCCTCAAGTAGCGAAGAATTTCGAGTCTGTTATGTTGCATTAGGGAATTGCGTTAGCCTGCTAAGTAATAACAATAATTAATTACACATATGGTATTATGGGCTTAGGCGAAGGTGATGGCTAATTTGTAAGGTTGTCCCGCAACGCGAACAACAAAAGAAATAGTTATGACACTATTTAAGCAGATAAATTATAACGAGCGATCGATATGGTACTTTTTTCCAAAATTTTGTACGTAGTACTCGGCCGAATCTCAAAATTGCGCACTTCTCATTCATGTTCTTAATTAGAACAAGTTCAACTGTTCACCTCCAATAACGCACCGTGTCAGGTTAATGTCTCGCGCTCTTGCACGAGCAGTGGTTCTTTTTCCTGCTCTTCATGTCGTGCTGGAGATCGTGTTTATGGTGCCACGCTCTCAACCAGTGAGGCCGGGTCCAGTGGCACCATGACTTTTGGATCCTGTGGTAGCACCGTTGGACTGGACTTTAAAAGAAGATGCATATACATGATCCAGAAACTTGGCAACAAATTTGACTCGCAGTGTAATAATGGACACATAGAGTCGGTTTCCCACACATTGACTAGTCCCTTTCTTCATACATACAAAGGTTTTCGAAAGGGTGTCGCATTCACAAATGTGGGCTGCAATCAACAACTGTAGACTAGACCAGAGCATCCCATCCCAAGGTTGAAAACTGCGAGCTTTTCTTTTTATTGTCAAATGGTTGGTTGGTTGGTTCACATGGAAATTAACCAGTTCCGATCATATCAGCAGTGGCTGGCCAGTCCACGTCGACCCGACCCCCCGACATAATTTCTTATTTTCGCGAGCCATATATCACATATATAACAGTTTGACAGCAAATTCAAATAAATAAATAAAAACCTCGACGAATACAACTCATTCATTTATTTATAAGTAACATACAATCGAGGAAGAAGCTCAGCTGATCGATCAGCTCAGCTCCATGGGTCTGAAACTGCAGACCATGTGATTGAAATTTGCAAATTTCGATCCTCTCTCTCTCTCTCTCTCTCTAACTCTGCGGTTAATATTTTGTTTGTGATCGAACAGCAACAGCGGCAATGGACAGCAGACAACAGGTTTCAAAGATTCTTCCTCGATGATCCACTCCACTCCTAAGACCGTTGCTTTGACATCTCTCTCTCGCACCGACCAATCTGGCTCTCTCTTACTCATTACCAGTTTAACTCAATATCTGATTATAATTACTGCGTGCGACTTACGAGCCAGTTGCATTACATATTGTTTACTGCAACTTCTCTCTATCCAATATGTCTGGTATAACTTCAGAAAATGGGTCAGTTTGGATCGGTTGCGACGAGCTACTTCAAAGTGTGAGTCATTAATAATATGCGTCACTTCGTTATGATTAATTGTCGAATTCTCACGTTAAATGATAATATGACGAATGACCAAGATCCATGATCGAGTCTTACTCATAAGCAATGCAATCAATAGTTGATTATATTAGCGGCAACTTGCAATTAGTTATATTTGCATTACATATTTTTTCTTCAAACTTCAGTTCGGACTGTAAATCCAATATGTCTGATATAGTGCTACAAACTTGAGAGTATATGTACATTTGAAAAATGGGTCAGCTTGTATTAATGTTTCGGACGAGTTACATCAAATTGTGAGTTATTGAAATTTGTTTATTCACTATGACTAAATATCGAATTCTCTCATTAAATGATAATACGATGAACGACAAAGGACCAAGAGTCTTAGATTAGTTGTGGGTCATCATCAAACTTTAATGTTAATTAGTAGGAGAGTTTATTTGTGGCCAATCTTGTCCAATGTTTGGGTTGGGGTTTGGAGTAGTTTTTTTGTTGATTGAACTTTGAGTGAGGGCCACTAAATCTAAGCAGTCTCTACGATTTGACTGATTTGATTAATGGTGTTCTTACGGGGAGAAGAATGACTAATGAGATTGGCATTTTGCATGTGAGGCGGTGATTGAGAAAGAATCATCGTAAGTGGAATATTATTGACCTCATCAATCATCAGCACCCAATTATATTATAATCATTAGTACAAAGTTTGAACTCCGATCGAGGATATTCCAGGAAGGAAAAAAAAAAGGTTTTGTAGTGTTTTTTGTTTTCCAAGGAACCTAGCTTTAATTAATTTAATTGGTCCAATAATAATAATAATAATAATAATAATAATAATAATAATAATAATAATAAAATTTTGTTTTATGTGATTGAAAAAATGATCAGTGGGTACGGTTTTGCAGATTGGGGCATGTGTTTAGGGCATGTGACTGTGACATAATCCCACACTATCCCATGCATAATTATATGACCCAAATCCAACATCTTCAGACCTACGCAGTTACCTACACCAATCTCTAGTCTTTAGTCTTTACCAATCTGCAGGCAGTTTATTAGTCGTCTACTTAATTACAAATAAAAAATTAAATGTTAGAATTAATTAGAAGAATTAAAAAGAAAACCCCATAATGGGAAGAAAAAAAATATTAATGTTAAGCCATCTGATGAAAGAAGATGGGAAATTAGGAAGACGGAGGAGAGGAGGGTCAAAGATGTGGAAGAATAATAGGGAGAAGGGTCAACATCTGGTCACATGGTGTGTTGTTGTACTACTTTTTATTATTATTAATGGT